TAAAAAATCAAGCAGACTACATTACGTGTAGAAAACATTCAATATAAATCTATGATAGTACACCGTGACATCACCATGGAAACCTCAAGTCTCAGTTCAAAAATAGATGTGGAGTCTACAACTGAAACCAGGGATTAAAAAGGTGTCAATCATATGAAGGATGCGGGTGTAATACAAAATAACCCATACAGAAACCGTCTTGATATAAGCTAGTGAACATTTTGGTTTCAAGGGATTTAACTAAATAAGGCATATTTTAACGTCTATTAAGCAGGGGACAACTGTAAACTCTATTGAATTTGAGTATTACACTGCACGGACAATAGATGGAACAAGTCAAAACTTATAATAACACAAAAACTAAATGTTTAAGGTTATCATCTTAACGCTGGAGCCCTTCATATTTTTAATTGAATAGGGCCTACATACTGAATATTTTCGTTTTCTCAGGTGTTTTCACCTCCTACTCCAAAAAATGGAGGGCAGATCATTATGGGGAATGTGGGAGGGGAAGGGCCTCTGGACGGACTCGGTCAGAACATTAATACTTACACAGGCAGGTCAGGCGGGGCCGGGGCCGGGGCGGAAAGGGTGGTTTGATACACTGGAAGTGTCTGGCCGGTTGGAGCTAGAGCAGTGCTTATCGCATCTTTTCTTTTTTGCTGATGACACACTGAACTTGCGCCCTGGTCGCACTCGTTTGTGTTGCTGTGGGTTACTTGCAATTGTAATGGTGCATCAATTTTGCATGGGATTTTCTACCTTCGAAGTAGGTTACCTCTGCCTCTCATTTTCCTTGGAAGTGTGACAGAGCTTCTGGGGTGATGATACTTAAAGCGAGTCGGTTGGTCTCTGATGATCTCCAGGGTCTCCACATCAGTTGTAGACCATTTAATAATTATTTCTAACGGGAAAGTACCAGTACTGCAGATCCGATGATGAAAGACACACGATTGGGCGAATTAGGGGGAGCCTTAGGTATATTTGAATTCAATTGGCTGGTGAAGTCTATTTAAGCTTCCCTTTTATCTGACTGGACATAATCATATCTGGTTGCATCCCCATATATCTGTAAACTTCATTCACTTCAAAGGCTGTGATGATTATAAATGAGCTTACCTCTCCGAATAATTTGTATTTTACAATTATCTATACCAAATTGTGTACCTACATAACTAGAGAATTTATCAGTGATATGCATTAGCTTTCTTGACTTTGTTCTAAGTTCTCTTCCGGGCTGAAGGGCCGTGGTCTATTGGAAAACATATTTCCAGACGTTTTCTGGAAATATGTTTTCCAATAGACCACGGCCCTTCAGCCCGGAAGAGAACTTAGAACATAACGCCGGCCGTGAAAGCCTACAGTGTTTTATTTCTTGACTTTGTAATGTGTTAATATAATTTAGGATCAACCAGTATTCCAGACGGTTGTCCATAGGTTTCAATTGGTCTTTTTATTTAAATCCCGTTTTCGTGTTCTCCAACAAGTATAAGAGCGGTTTGAAGGCAAGAGAGAACAAGGGCTGATACTATCACCTACTACCACCAATAGGAAATAACGTATCTCCGGAAGAATGAGTTTTTGCAAGTCGTAACATGAAAATTGAAAACATACGTAAAAAAATAAAGTAATCGGAACTGAAAACCTGTCACAGTTCGTAAAAGCTTTTATTGAACATCTGTGAATCTTCTTACATTATTTTTGTTTTTATAAATATTACCATAAAATTAGATAAAATACATACATTTAAACTGATTGCATCGCACGACTATGCACATATACACGTCTTTATCTCCAAAGAAAAGTATAGCATCCTAGATACTCTTAGAATGTAACCCCCCAATTTTACAACAACGTATTTATATTGTTTATATTAGTAATGGGAAACTTTTGCAATTATATCATCCTGTAGATAAACATTTTTTTTCGTGACAGTCAATGTAGCGTCAATGAACACATAACCTCTAAATCCTAAACTTATACATTAGTTTATTCCTGACGTATTTGAATTAACTTGAGTAAAAATGAGCCACGAAGTTCCTGCCGTATTATACTGGTACTATATATTAGTGTCGAATTCATGTTTAGTGGCGGCGGCAAAAACTACGTAAAGTGTCAGCTACGAAAAGATTTGTCGTAGACGACATATCAGGGAGAGTGGCGGGACCCGTCAAATGAAAACCTGTCATTTGATGCCGGCGCATGCGCAGAAGAATTCTATCCAGAATTGTCGTGTTACGTCATTCTAATTTACGACTTGCATAAACTCTCTCAAACTATCACTTACTACACGCTGTTCCTCGTATCCCATGGTGGATGTTGCACACCAATGCCATTCTTTCACCAAGATTGTTAGATAGCAGTACACTGAGTTGTGAGCAAACAACAACACACACAAAACATCCATGCCGAAGCGGGATTCGAATTTGTGACCCTTCGAGCAGAGAAAGTTATAGAGCTCCCACCTTAGACTCGACTTATACACTCTTCCTTTCGACGAACGATTCCGAGTTCTAACAAATGCAAGAATTTGTATATTACAGTGTGGCTCCTAGACACCCAGAAACGCCACAACAAATGTTCACTTCCGCTAAAACTCCGGAATTTTTCGTCAAACAGAAACTGTAAATAAGGTAGCTACCTCGTCTAGCCCGATGGGCATTATTGTTAAAAAGCAATCCACATCCTTATGGTTGGTTGATATTCCATTGAATTATATTACAATAAAATAGTATTTTTTTTATTGATACTACGCAATTGCTTTCGATACAGAGCTCGATATACGCCGCATACCTCACTTGGATTGAGACGGCTGTCATTACAAGGGAAATACGAAAACAGTTGAATGACGCTACATGATCTCTTGAGGGAATTCCTGGGAATTTTGAGAGGGAAATATGAAAATCAAGGCAACAATCATTCACTTGCATATTTCATGAGAATATGCTTCAGAGATCCGCACACATTACTCACCAAGTCAAATTAACTTTTAGTTAATATTCTGCAAACGCTTTTTTCAAGTACCTCGAATTTTTGTCTTAAACATCGCACCTCCAAATAGAAAAGTGACACAAGTGCAAATTTCTGATTTCTCATAAATTGCAATTTTAAGTTTCGTAGTTTTGTAATACTCGTTATAGATTGTACCAAATATTCACCTTCTAGCGGACAGTAATTGAACTAATCCAAAATCAACTTCAGAATAGTAGCAATACCTCTTGGTAACCTCTTATCATCTTTTAGCTGAAAAATGAAGATTTCAAAATTGTGTCACTTTGCTTTTGGAGGTGCAATATAATTTGAGACACACTAGATGTGTTAGCTTTGGCTGAGAAAACATTAATATTTTTCTTTATAAGAAAAATCCAAATACGTTATCGTTATTTTCAAGAACACGAAACTTTTCTTCCCTTATATCATTCAAGCAGCGTGGATTCGTTTCTGAACGCGGCTGTACCAAGAAGCCACCGCGCAAGAGTTTACAGAACCGGGTCTCTTGAAGCAATAATGTTGGACTTGCTTTAACCACGAAACAGAAAATCGATAAAATCATCAATAACTGAATCGCAGTAGTAAAGTATGTATTAACTTATCACTAGTATATAGCAATAACTTTTCTATTGCTATGTTGACATCATCTTAAATTATTGTAAATTAAAAATACAATTGTTCGCTAAGGAGAAATTTTGTATACACTTTTTAAACATCTTTGGGCCATTAAAATCCGCACTGTGAGTATAAGATGATTATTAAATCAAAACAGTTCACGACAATCGGTTTGGAACCACTAGGCTAGTACAGCGACTTGGGACGGTTGTAGACGGGACTCGTTTGTTCAGAGGGCGTCCCTCCCCCATCCATCCCTCAGAAGCTATTTGTGAAATCCATCCCCCTCTGAACAATGAGCGTTAAACCCGAAGCGAGTCCTGGAAAGGAGAGGCGCGGTGCAGGTCAGGGTGCAACAACTGTGCGTGCGTCCCGACCACACTTCAGAGGTTTCTACATCTTATCGCTGGTCGTTGGGTTGGTGGAAAATTCCAAGCCATTTAAGAAATAAGAATATGTTTAGTATGTAGTTTCGAAAGCAGACCATATTATTGTATACATATTCATAAAATAATGTATCCTCAGTTTATTTATATTTGCTTGACTTCTGTAAGGTAAACACATCCAGTAAAAACAGCTGAAGTATTGAATAGTTGTGAATTTATTTCTGAACAATAAATAGTTAATTACAAATACATGATTAATAATAAATAATTTCGAAAGTCAACTTACTCTCTTTTTCCTACGGATACCTTGATTAGAAGTAAACATGTTTATACAGTGTTAAAAGTGTGTTCAAGCTTCTATTTTATGAAGTAAAGCCACTTAATGGTTTCAGCATTTACCGTTCAAACTTAAAATGAATGTTGTCTTTTGTAACCACCTTGAATAGCAGTTACAGTTCCGGCCACGCTGCGTCTCATGTCGAAAAGCGCCACCTGGCCTTGAAAAGGCAAGTGAGCGAAACACCTTGACATTTCCGACCAGTGGGAGACTTTACTTCAGAGAGGCTCTACAATATTGTAGTATATTTTTTTGTGTACCAATTAATTATTTCACAGTTTATTTAAGTTTTGAAGGAACGCACGAACTTTACGGAATTACCTGAGACTATTCCCGATTTTCAGTTACTTTTTCCAGCTTATAAACAGCTATTTACTCTTTATTAGCCATATTTCCAATTTACCAAATTAAATATAAACATATTACGTTGTGTAAGTTTCCTACCGGAATATTTAACGACGTGAACATTTAGAAATAAACATTTTCAAAAGAACCGTTAAAGGTAGAGGTAAACTAGAACATTTTGTTACGATTCGTTGCGTTTGGGCAGGCAGCTCTTCTAATTTGCGGTAGTGTGCCAATACAATGAAAATATTTAATTGATTACACTTTGTTTGGCAACGAGTAGGAAAAATAAACAAACGAATCCTACACAGTGTATTGTTGGGTCGAAATATGAAAGCGCGTATTATTGAAATATTCTAGTACACATAAATTTTAAGCGAAAAAAAACTGAAACTGAAAGGATGGCACTAAACTGTATAGAAAATGGTAAGTAATTTTGTGTGTGTTGTTTAGTGTTATCTCTCAAGTGAATGTATTTAAAATCCACTTATCCCAGAACTATATTCAACCAACCTTTCTGTTGAAATTGTGATGAGGTTAAGTCAACTGTCTGAACTGAACATAGTGTTGACATTTATATGGACTTGCACTGACAAGTTTTGAACGCTTGATTTCACCTCGGTTCTCACAGATCACGGCATGCTTTTCCTATTTCATCACGTGTTCGTGACTCACTACAGTCAACCTTTTTCACATTACACTGAGTATGAAGCTAATGGTTAAGACATGTGATGTACCAATTTCTTACGATTATTATAAAAATACAACCACACATCTCATATGCATTACTCCCACATACACATAACCACAATAAAATCATGCGCCATGTCGAGAGAAAATCTAAAATTCAAAATGACGCATATCTTTCAAAAATGCATTTCTACAAAAAAGAGAAATGAATATGTAGAATAGCACACTTAATTTTAAAATGAATAAAGAACTAATACGTGCCAGTAAATACATCACTCAAAGTTACACATGTCCAACTGTTCAAGCAAGTATGGATAGCTATTGATTCAAGTGGTAACTGCTGTTCGATTGTTAAAGCAAAAAATTGAAGACCCTCGTCATCACAACAAAAGCTCTCATTACAACGCTTTTATATCTTCAAAAGAGTAATAAATTTTAGAGTTATTATTCTAATGTTTATTTGGATCCATTTTAGGTGTGCATCTGCTGATTACAAATCAATTATGTAGGAAACTATTTTCTGGCTTAGTATCTCGCGGATGAATATCTCAGTTCCAGTATTTAAGCGGATGACGACCTACTTTCTCCGCCTCTTTCTCATACTGAGTAGGGTTTGTTCACGTGAGGTTGTGTCTCCTGTAAAATAGGTTACACAACCCACTTCTATTTCGTGAAATAACTTTTTAAAATCCAAAAAAATTATAAAATTTTGAAAAACTCCAAAAAAATAGTAAAAGTTTCAAAAAGCCAGAAACAAGTTGACAAGTGTGTGCGTGTGTAATCGTGACCATACAACGTGGGCATCTTCGAAGAATCTGTGCTGCCATTTTCAAAGAAAAGGAGGGAAGCTGCAGTGTTTCTTCATTTCGGTGGATTCTGTGTTCTTGTATTAGTGTAATTCAAACGTAATAATGAATCCAGGCGGTCCGAATTATCCTATGGCCTCGCTGTATGTTGGCGACTTACACCAAGACGTGACGGAGGCCATGCTGTTTGAAAAATTTTCAACTGCTGGTCCTGTGCTTTCTATCCGCGTATGCAGGGATATGATTACTCGCCGGTCCTTAGGATACGCATACGTCAACTTCCAACAACCAGCTGATGGTAAGTAAAAGTTTTTCTTTCACGAGAGGTTATGTGTGTTATACAAGGGCGTGGGCGCATTACCTATATTCATGTTAATTAAAGATTAATGCATCAAATATGAATGAGAATTGGTTAAAACAATGATTCCTAGTATTTTAATTGATAATTTAATATGGTTTTGAGATAGTTTAATTTATTCTCAAGATATATTAATTTCTAAATTTGTTGAGAATGACAATGAAGTGGTTGGTTGTTGAACAGTAGATTAACTGAGAACTGTGATTTTTTTTTTTTTTTTTTAGCTGAACGAGCTTTAGACACCATGAATTTTGACATGATCAAGGGGCGGCCCATTCGAATCATGTGGTCTCAGCGAGATCCATCGTTGCGCAAGTCTGGTGTTGGCAATGTATTCATAAAAAATCTTGACAAGAGTATTGATAATAAAGCAATGTACGACACTTTCTCAGCTTTTGGCAATATCTTGAGTTGCAAGGTATGTGAAAATGAAGTGCTCAGTTTCTAAACAAATTTTCTAATATTGTCCTTGGTTGAGATTATATGAAACTTGAAGTCTCTTCAGTACGAGAAAAGCTTTTAAACTCGTATCATCTATATAACTTACTTTATGGTCTATTAACTCCCAAAATTGTTTATTTTATAGGTAGCTCAAGATGAGAATGGTGTTTCAAAAGGTTATGGATTTGTCCATTTTGAGACTGAAGAGGCTGCAACAAAATCCATTGAAAAAGTAAACGGTATGTTGCTTAATGGCAAGAAAGTCTTTGTTGGAAAATTTGTCCCACGCAAGGAGCGCGAGAAGGAGTTGGGTGAGAAGGCCAAGCTCTTCACTAATGTTTATGTGAAGAACTTCGGTGAAGATTTCAATGATGATACTTTGAAAAAGATGTTCGAAAAATATGGTCGCATTACCAGTCATAAGGTTTGTTATTGTTGGAAAAAAACTTATAAATGTTCTTTAACAACAAAATTGGTTGTAATAAAGAGACTAATAACTTCTTGTGATTTGTTAATAGGTAATGGCTAAAGACGATGGGAAATCTCGTGGATTTGGATTTGTTGCATTCGAAGAGCCAGAAGATGCTGAAAGAGCTGTCGATGATCTGAATGGAAAAGAGTTGATTGATGGCAAAGTGAGTATTAATTGTGATACTTAGGAATATATCCGTAGATTTCATGTTTCTGTTCTTGGGGTCATTTCTGTGGCCTAGTGCATGTTCCTGATTTTAATTCATTGTTTTGCATGACATTTCCTTGGAAGGTTAATGATTCTTGAGTGATTTAATGCAGCCTTTGATTTTTTTACCCCCTTTGTTTCTTCATAATTTAAAACTTCTATTTTAACTGGTAAATGTTCAACAAAAGTAAGGTTTGAAACTAATAATTTTCAGCCACTTTACGTGGGAAGAGCTCAAAAGAAGGCAGAAAGACAGCAAGAACTGAAACGAAAATTTGAACAATTAAAAATAGAACGCCTGAATCGCTACCAGGGTGTTAATTTATACGTCAAGAATTTGGATGATACCATTGATGATGAACGTCTTCGCAAGGAATTTTCACCATTCGGAACTATAACTAGTGCTAAGGTATGAGTGTTTGACATGTGAGAAAATTTTAAGATGGTATTCAAATTAATAGCTTTCACTAAATTTCAATAAACTTGATTTTATTCAGGTAATGATGGAAGAAGGCCGCAGTAAAGGCTTTGGTTTTGTTTGCTTTTCTTCTCCTGAAGAAGCAACTAAAGCTGTTACAGAAATGAATGGCCGCATTGTGGGCACAAAGCCATTGTATGTTGCCTTAGCACAGCGCAAAGAAGATCGCAAGGCACATTTGGCTTCTCAGTACATGCAGCGCATGGCAAATATGCGTATGCAACAAATGGGTCAAATTTTCCAACCAGGCGGTGCTGGAGGCTATTTTGTACCCACACTCCCGCAACCCCAGAGGTTCTATGGACCAGCTCAGATGGCTCAGATTCGAGCTACTCCACGATGGACCGCTCAGCCACAAGTACGGCCCAATGCTCAGGGAGGTGCCACTGCTTTCACAAACATGCAGGGACCTTTCCGTGCCGCTCCAAGGCCCCCTGGCACCCAGCCCAGCTCCATGCGCAATGCTCTTTCTGCACGTCCAATTACAGGTTAGTATGTAAACGTGATTCTCCCATCTTCTGTAATGTCAGTGACGCGGCTCGTTCCAGATAGCGTAGACAACGCATCTTCTGTAGTATTTTTAAGAGAATAATATTTGTTTATATGAGACTACTTGACAATTCTGTCATACCAACATCCTTGGTCTGTTATTTATCAAGTAATATTTACTAATTAAAGGGTACACAAAAAAGAGAGGTTATTAAAAGTAATTTTGTCAATACAATTCGGTTAGTTCAATATCTTTTCTATCCAAATAAAATGTGGTGCAAGTTTTTGTACGAATGGAATTTACACTTCTCCCCACCAAATCTCCTCTCAGGGGACCACTTTATGCATGTATGTATGTAATTGATTATAAGTGTAAGATTGTGGTGTTCAAATGTTCTGTGAGGTATCATTCTAACACCATTGAATGACTGAGGCTCTACTATTGGAATACTTCTCATGGTCAACTCTGAATTTTCCTGTTGAAATACATGAGAAACTAAAATGTATGTGTTGCCCTCTGAGTAGTGTTAAAGCAGCCATTTCCATCATTCGTAAAGTTTAAGTTTGAATGAGGACAGTAAACAATTTTCGACTGAATTAGTTCAGATGTGATACATACTTATATGCAGAAATGGTTCAATACTTCAAAACAACTAGTGCACGGTGCCTGAAAAACTGGGAAAAATCCGAGAATTTCATTGTTCTGGATAAGTCCTAAAAAAAGTTTGGGAATTTGTAGAAGAATCATTAAGATGTAATCACTAGTATCAGGCTTGCGTTAATATTTTTTAAAAAAAAGTGATACTGTACAAACCTTATCAACGGGAAAATAAAAAACAATGTGCTGGAAACGTCGGTGAAATGAGTGACCACTTGTTGAAATTTCTGGTGGCTAGCGAGAGTGATATTAATGGTTATGCATTCACAAACTTTATATTTCATGTATATAATGAAGCATGTCATGCATGTCGGCAGAAATCATGTCTTTGTATTTGCATTATTACTGTATAAAAATGGCTACTTTTAAGAGGTAAGCCAAAAAAAAAAAACCTTCATCTCAGTTGATATTTGAATGGGTTTTGAGACTGTCGTTGGACATAGATTCTCGCCCAAGTTTCTGAAGAGGAAAATATAAATTGATTGTTTTGATTTTTATAGGTTCATTTTTATTAACAAGGCTCAATATTTCATTGTTAAATAAACTCATTTAATATGAGAAAAGAAATGTGAGGGGCATGTTTTTTCTGTAAATTAAGATTTCAAAATTTTAAATTAACTAGATTTTCCTTGTGCTACTAAATGGCTCCCTCCAGAGTAAAATTTACTGGGGATGTAAGTTCTTAGTTTTATATCTTTTTAAATTAACCAATGTAACAATTTTATGATTCGGAAAAAGGAAGTAAGTAATGCAAGGGAACGAACATGGTAAAAGCACAAATAAATGAAGCAGCACCAAAAGTGAACAATATTATACAAATTGACATCTTGCTGACTGGACCAAAGAAATCTCAACAAATGTTAAATGGAAAGTTTTAACTTGAAGAAGAAATCACTTCAGGTCTTACCCAAAACCAGGTCAGAGGAAGGGAATGAAGTATGAACAAACATGCAGAGGAAAGAAAATTATGAAAGAAGTAGAATAAAGAACTTCAAAGTATAAGAAACACTTCAAACAAATTTCAACTAAGGAAAAATAAACAAGAAACTTACAGCCCATCCACAACAGGACTAGAAGCACAAGAAAAGGAAGACTATTTCACACAAATATTTCTTAAAGAAATAAAAAATGTAAAAATTCTATAAAACAAGGGTTTAGGTCTAGGTAACATGTACAATCGACACACAAGTTTGCTCTGGCTTCGACAGCCCAAGTCGTACGTAACTGGCTATCTGGAAGATGCCGCATCCTGGACAGACAAATGTGTACGCAAAAGTTACAAAGAAATTCTTCCTCTTATTCTTGTATTGAAATTTTTCAACAAGTGTAATACTGGACAACTGGAGAACAGATTAAAATTCCTTTCACTGAAGGGTGTTTTTTTGTTTATTGACTTGTTGAGCTGGCTCCTTCATATAGTAACTTCACTACACCAGAAACTGTTCAACCTGCTTGCATCAACATCCTAAACTGTTGATGGCAACATGACCCTATTTATCATAATAATGTAATTGATAATTACATATAGGATTGTTATGATATGAAAGAAACTGTCTGTGACCTTAGAAGAATAGAAAAAGTTAATCCTGTTTTAGGAATTAAGAACAGCACCCTTAAGGCAGAGAATAACCATACGAACTCATGAGAGGAAACTTCGAAAACAAGACTTTCTAAAACAGCCGACTACATACACTGCTCCCTACACCTCTGTATAAAAAGAAAGCAGAAATGGATGCCCATAGAGCCATATTTCAACATATTGGTGCAAAGGAAATAGATAGTTGGGAATGCAGATCTGTATGTTTAAACTTGATTTGCGATTCATGGTTTTCCTTGCAAAGAATGAAAGACAGATTTCATAACGCCAGTGGGAAATTGTGATTTGTGTGGAAAAGAAAGTGAACGATGCCACTTGGATATTTCAAGAGTATTATATTCTAATTAAAAACAAAGAATACTTTCACTCTTCCATTGAAATTCGTTGGTATTATGATTAACTACTGAAGGAAACGTGTAAAAGGTCAACGCCATGTAGTTTTTTAATTTTCTTATATCGTAGGAAAAACATTGTGTTTATGCCTCCTGGTTTCCACACACACTTTGCAATCCTGTGAACAAGTGTGTGTGTGTGTGTGTGCGCGCGCAGCATTTGGATCATATTGTTTTTCTTGAAGAGGTTGTGGGAGGGACTTGAAGGTGAACAGTTTGGATACTTCAATTGTGGGTTGTCATGATGGTGCCTTGTCCTCCTTAAATGTAGGATGGCAAGTAGAATATTAGGATTCTCCACTCTCTCAATTGTTTGTTTTTGCAACTTAATAAACAGTATTTATTTTTGTGTGTAGGACAACAACCTGTTGGAGCGGCCAATATCCAGGGCCGCCCGATGGGAGCTCCTACAGTCTCTGTCTCAGCTCAAGGTCGTCCAGCCAACTACAAATACACCGCAAACATGCGCAATCCTCCTCAACCATTGCCGGTGGCTCAGCAACCTCCTGTACAGCAGGTAGGATTAAAGATACTGGTATCCTCTCCCAACCTCTAATTTATTTTATTTATTTATTTTTTGGTGAAACGTTTTCTAAAACAATCCTTTCTATGTTGTTGGAAACCCCATTGATAAGGCTAATTGCAGTTCGCTTGCATGAAGCTGAAAGTAGTTAGTGAAAGGAGATGCTTATGAAATTAGATTTCTTTTTTTTTTTTTGAAGTTTAAAAAATTAATTTGATGCAAGGAAACAAAATAGTGTTTCAATGTGAATTAGTTTTTGCGTATTCTGCTAGGGACATTTGGGTATCTGTCCATCTGAGTGAGTGTGAACAACGCTAGCAGATAAACCAAAAGTGGGATTTTTACCATACTTGATTTTTTTTATTTGATTTGGTTGATGTTGTGGCCAATTGATTTTGGGGGGAACTTAACACTATCTAACCTTGATTTGAGGTTATTCAAATACTGTTTTTGCTCCTATCGACAAAAGAGGAATCTCTAAACTGTTTACACAGGTCACAAATATTTTTGATTGGAATTTTGATCTTGTTAATGGGAATACATATCGAACATTATAAAATTCTAATAAATGTAACATGTTATATATCAGTACTTTCTAACAATAACTTCCATAGTTCTCCTATTTAAATGCTTAATCAGTGTTTCCTTAAATGCAAAAATTTCGACATTTTCATGCCATAACCCAGGTCGGGCCTCAAACTTTGTGCCTCAAGCTCAATTATAGCTTTTTCCGTTTTCCCACATTTTTAACATACTTGATGCCCTTTCGTGGGTTTGGGCATGCAATCCTTGCAAAGGATGTGCTGGTGTATTGGATTGCTGTACTATTTTGAAGCATCAACTAATAAAAAGTAAATATAAACAAAATGGGCAGTTCTCTGCCCAGACCATAAGACATGTTTCGTTGTGTTAGTGCAAGTCTGTATGATTCTATTCAAGAAAAGGGTGTCAGTTTGCTCTGTAGCTCTCTGCATGTCCAGTTGTTTCAAACTGCATAAAAATAAAAGCTAAGGATTATTGAAAAATTTCCTTTTGTATTAATTTCAAGTAAAATCAAACAAGATTTGTGTTTAATCTTTGCAGAAATTATGCAACATTTGGTATTCCTTTAAAGCCCAAATCTATGAAATAATTGCTGCTCTCTCTATTTTTAAGAAAGAATAAGTTGTTGATATAAGGTCAGAAATATCCAGGATACCATGGTATGGAAAATGCAAAGTATTAAATAGGAATTCTGCCACAAAGATGAATTGTACAGCTGATGTTATCTCTAATGTACTGTCACCAGTTCCTAAAGTGTTTATCAATTTTCTAGTTTTTTGAACAAACTTTCACTTTTATTCTAGGCTGTACACATCCAAGGGCAGGAGCCTTTGACTGCTTCAATGCTGGCTGCTGCCCCTCCTCAAGAGCAAAAGCAGATGCTGGGTGAACGGCTGTTCCCTCTCATTCAGCGCATGTATCCTGAGCTGGCTGGAAAAATAACTGGAATGTTGCTAGAAATCGACAACTCTGAACTCCTGCACATGTTGGAACACCATGAGTCCCTGAAGGCAAAGGTAAATATTTCTTGAATTCTATTTGATTACATAATTTTTTTGTATTGAGTGAATTCATGAATTCCAAATCAATTAGATCATTATAATGTAGACTGTACGGAACATAATCAGATAAAGTAAGATGTCCAAAGTTAGTTCAGTGTATTATTGTGTCAATGTTCTTCGCATATTAATGCAAAAGTCAGAGAATCATCAAAAAATGAAGCTTCTAGGTTGCAATGATACGTTTTAATAAATAATCCCAGAACTTGGACTTGAAGTGTGTTTTGTATAAATATTAATTAAAAAGCTTGTAAGTATAACTACAGCATGTAATGAAAGGATGAAAACAATGATATAACAGCAATGCACACAGCTTAAACATTTTTAATTCCTAGTATTTTTTGTGGGTATGATTTCAGGATGTGTTTGTTATATATTTATTTTGGCTAGATTATTGAGAAAAATACTAATTTTTGTTATTATCTCCCTTGTAAAGGAAAATGTCAAATTAAAACACATTGAGAGAATTAAGTTGCATGTTATACAATCTTGAAAGTAGTAACTAGCTATATGCAGGCTAAATTTGGTTGTTTCATCTTCTCAAATTCTTAGCTAAAACTGAAATATCATAACTGTTCCTGAATCATTGCTCTAATTTCATATGTAACCCCTTAGTGCCAATTTGCACACAGTTGTTGGAGATAACCAGAGTTGTGTTGTGCCTTTCATTTGGAAAGCTGAATTATAAATTGTTTGAGATGTTAAATTACTTTTGTATGCTTTAGTTATTTTTGACTCATTCCAACTTCAAAGCTGGATTACTTAACAATGCAATTGGCCAGCTGACCTACCATTGGGTTGGGTTGCAATATTGTTGGAAATTCAAAAGTACTCTCATTAATAGAAAAAGGATTTGTAGGATAATGCTTTTAAATTTTTTTACCCAAATTTGCAAGATTTACTGTCTCTGATCATTGAAGAGTCGAAGTGGGTTACTTATTAATGGATATTAATTCCATCAAGTAGTCATTTCTGATAGTTTACGACTCAACCTTGAAATAATAATTTTGTTTTCTCATTGTTTTCACATAATTGGTTAACCTATTTTTTAATGGTTTAGTAATATAATTTTGCCCTTCTTGATTTCAAGAAACACTATTAAATGTCAAAATGATTGTGCTTTTTAAATGTGTACTTATATGTGAAAATGTTCTTTTTACAGGTTGAGGAGGCTGTGGCTGTCTTGCAGGCTCACCAGGCCAAACAGGCTGCTTCTCAGGGCAAGAAAGAATAAGTTCTTCCAGATGAATGGCCTGCGTTAAACCATCAAATCTCGAGGCCAGCTGTCTTCGTGGGTCTGAGAAATAGGCCGTTGTTGGGCCAATTCTTACTTCATTTTGGCTAGCTTTTTTTTATTGGCTCTTAAAGTTTGCGAAATTCAATTAGAAATGGATAACTGAATTGTCCTTTTTTTATTTATTTGGCTGAAACCATTCAATTTGGTTAGGGAATAGCAAAAAACAATTTAAGAGTTGCCCAACAATGTCTATTATCATGCCATTAAGAAATATGACCTGTGTTGTACACGGGGAAACATGGGATCAGACAACTATTGATATTGCCCACCATTTTGATATGCAGCGTTCTTTATTTTTTTAATTTTTGCTCCTTTCAAAAACTCGTTTGCATTTCTGGATAAGAGTTAAGTTTTAATGCCGTTCTGGTACACATACAATTTTAAATGGTGTACGTTAATGATAAATACTGAATTTTTTTTTTAATGTTTCCATTTGTTATCTTCGGTTTTATAATACGAATTTTGGTGAGGAATCTGTCGTGGCCTAAACCTCATCCAATTATAACATAAAAAAATTGTTTTTAGACGCGCGTTCCACATCCAAAATGGGAACTTTGTGTGGCAAAAAGCTTTTGCTCCTTAATTGGAAACTATAAAAATAGAAATTTGAGTAACAATTCACCCAGCAAAATATTCTTTAAAAATTGTATAAAAAAAGGAAAATGTGTCGCCCGACACACAAAATAAGAACAGGAAATAGCTAAAAACGTGATGTTACATCAAAACAAGAACTACCTGTAACGAAATAAATGATACACTAGTATTAAATATTGGGGTTCCAAAAAAAAGAAGAAAAAAAATAATGCACCTTTTCATTAAATATTGTGTATGAAATCTTGTTCTTTAATGGGATAAATCTGAGGGTTTATGGATAAAAATTCTTCATTTTGGAGTGTGTGGTTTTTTTGTTCTTGACATTCCTTCCCTGACCTACGTGGATAACCTCTCCTTTCCTTAACCTTATCCTCACATTCCCTTAACATAATGTACTGTGAAATTGTTTAGAGGTGTAGTAATGTATGCTGCATTTCCTTTTGTAATTTGTGAATTTTGCCCTTATCTTGTATTAAATGTATTTACTGCAGCAAATTGATGTGACACCAATCTTGTTTTATTTTGAATCGGTTCATATAATTGGGCAATGTTCTTTAGTATGATAGAAGGGGATATTTTACTTCTGTACATTTTTCTCACCCTTGATATTGTTTATGAAAACAGCACCACTTTAAGTTCATGTTTAGGGTAACTACCTAGGTATGTCCGGAAGCTATTGCTACATGTTAAATGAAAGTGCTTTTCAACCTGATGAGTGTTTCCTGTACATGAAAGATGAGGGGTACAAAGGCAGTGGTTAAGAAAATATGTTCAAAGTAAAAACCACATGCTTAGGCGAAGAAATTCTGTTTTATTTAGTCAGTGCATGGTTTTCAGAGGTGGGAGAAATGTAGATGAGTGCCCCAATCAACTTCTTAGTAAAAGGCCTTTTTTTTTTTTTCTCTGCTCCCTATTTTTTTGTTTCTAGTTTTTCAATGATAGAGGAATACAAACTAACAAAGATGGGTGAGGAACAACACATTTTCCACTAACTCTTGTAATATTTCTGATGTCCTCTTACCAGATTGTTTGTGTGTATTGGTAGATGTCCTGTGGACAGTGTTTCCTCTGCTTGTACGTTAGCTGTTTCTCTGTATATTTCTGTAGGGACATAGGAATATGCTGTTCCAGAATGTGAGCAGGGGTGGTGGATAATGGCTTTTGACTTAAATTTTGTGGAGTGGAGAATTATTTTTATCTAAGACTTTGGGAAGAACTTTGTATTGTGATGTGTTGGGGCAAGGTGGACTTTTTTTTTTACAATGTGGATCTATATGCTTTTACCCCACTTGAAGGCTGTGTTCACAAAGTTATTTGCCATTTGTGGTTGTTTCTCTTCCTCCCTGTTGTAATGAAACTGGTTATTATTTTGACATGCCTCCTTATCCTGTTGAATTTTCTGTGTAGGATTAACCATGAAAAGTTTGCGAGAAGAGAGGATTTTTTATGAAATAATTCATTAATGTGGGTGTGTATTGCATCTTGCAAAACTTAAAAAAGTTTGGATGCAAATGAGAAGAGACTATATGCACAAGGTTAATTTTTTTTTTTACTTTAGTTTCTTCTGTCATTCCAAACTTTTGGTCATAGTATAATGTGTTATGTTTCTGGGAATGAGTTATTTTACTTTGTATGGCTTCACGGGAATAAAGCGATATTCACTTGTGGATTTGGGATCTTTTTATCAGTGATAAATTGCTTATAATTGACAGTTACGTTGATAAATGCTTCCTAGAACCCTTCTTAGACTTGGTTTAGAAATGGTGACTAGTTTTTCTTGTGGACTTTGCTAATAAGTTTGTGGCTTGAACACAGCATTGTTGTATACAAAGTTAATAGATGCTAGTATGTTGAACTAATTGTCAAAAGGAAAATTGAATTGATTGGTTTTTATCAACCAAACAAGTAAGTGTGGTAGATGCAATGTAACTACTATCAAATCTTATGCAGTAACAATGTTGAACTTCTGTAACTGTCTTGTTGGGCTAAACATGGTTTCTTTTTTTTATTAAGCTGTTTAAAACGTTGCAAAATCTTCAAAATATTTTACCACTCTTCAGTGATATATATTTTTCTGTTATTTGTTTAATTCCATACATCAATTAGGATATTGAATTTTTTATTCCGACACTATTTATGTTTTGTTTTATCAGTTACAGGACAGCATTGTGGCCAAATTTTTACTAATAATACATATGAAAAATTAAAAATTTATTTTATAATGTACAAGTCAGTGAGAACTCTAGAATATGAACTAATATTTACCCATCACACAAAATCTTTTAGGAATTTTATGTTAGTATTATTTTACCTTTTATATATTGTTACCAGTATCACCATTGGCCAATTTATATAATCTCTGAATTCTATGAAGTTGTCAAGTAGGCAAAGGTATAATTGGATGACTTTTATTTAAAAGGTACTAAGCACCATTTCTGAGACATACACAAATTTGAACTCGTCAGATCCAGAAGTATATTGTGTTAAAAGATCCAAGAGGTGTCTAGGCTTTGCTGTCAGATGTGTGTGGTTGAACAAACTATTGAAGAGTGGTCAATTTTGTTTTCTTTCTATAGAACCAAGTGATATTTGGTAATTGATTCTTGTTTTCAAAAAATATTGAGTGTTTTTGTAGAAAGGGAACCAAGCATTGTTTTTATTATCTCAGAGAAATATGCACAGCTAACAAATGACTATTCACCATTTTTTACTGATCTCTTGTACATGACTAGGAAAATATTTGAGAAAGCCTTGTAAATAACAATTTGAGCGAATGCAGCTCAACAAAATTATATCTGCTTAACTAACTACTGAGGAACATGCAGAATAGGAGTATATTGAATTTCTCAAGATCAAATTCAGTAGGTCAAAGATCATGTTAATCATGATCATCTTGACTACTGTCAAGAGGGTGGTGATAGAAGTTATGTCCACAGAATAATGGGCCAAAAATGTACGACAGCAAGTTTTTGTTGCTACAGAAAGAACCTTCGCACATTTTAATATAAAAAGAAAAATGTTGAAGGTAACAGTAAACATTATTTTAATTCCAATATGAACAGAAATGAGATTCCTGACAAGGAACAAATTGAGAATGCGTTAAATGTGTGGTAGTTACAAAGAGGACATTGCCGTGACCAAGAATTTTAACAAATGTTATAATGTTATATTTTCCAGAGACAAATTTAAATACTTGGTGCATTCAAAATGATTGGCGCAACAATTCTATTGTGTTCACAGAAACTACTTACTGAACAAACGAGTACAGATTATAATTATTACAAGTATTCTGCCTACACACTTGTGTTGTTCTGGCAACTTCCTTATTCACCATTCATTGGCAGTTCCATGGCTCCATTGTTGGACAACTGCTTGAAGTTTGTCATTGGTGATCAACTTCTTTCCCTGGAGGAGCTCTCAATGCATTGAATAGAGCATAGTTGTTAGGAACCAAATCCAGCATGTATGGCAGATTTGGCAGCACGAACCCCTGTTCAGCCAGGATGGCCATGGTCTTGGCAACTGGCATGTGGTCGCACTTTGTCTTGTTAGAGCAGAATGCCATGCCCCCTTTTTCTGCAGTGGCCCTTTTGAATGTGTCTTGGGAGTTTGGTGCAGTGACTGCAGTACCGATCATTGTTGACGGTCATATTGGGAGTGAGCCAGTCCACCAGAATTATCCCATCCTGATCCCAGGACACAGTCCCCATTTGTTTGTGAATGACCCAGACTGCCTTGGGACGAGGGCTCCCATATTCTTTCATTCCATACACTGGTATTCCTTTTTTGGAATTTCATTGAACCATGACTTGTTGACAGTGATCAGACGTCAAAAGAACTTCGCTGGATCTGCATTGTACTGTTGAACCAAATATTGGCACATCTCCACATGCTTCTATTTCTGCACAGAGGTGAGGGTGTGGTTACTCATTGTGTGCATCATCTTTAAGTCCTCATGAATTGTGTGCAGGATTGCCAGTTAACAGCCTGTTGCCTTCTCTAATTCACCAGATGTGATTTACCTGTTTGACATTATCAAGACATTGACACACTGGGTTTTGTTTGGTTGGAATGCATTTGCTGGATGCCCAGTGCTTTTTCTTTTTTAAGGCAACTCCTGCAGTCTTTAAATCTGATCCCCCAAAGAAGCACAGATCTGCATCATGGTGAAGCCTCTCTACACATGCTTACTAACCTGTTGTGGATGTTTGAAACAGTCACACCTTCCCTCCAGAGAAACCACACTGGTCACCGTTGCCCACCGTTGCTTTCATGTTGAATCATTGATATCCACTAGTGGACTGACAGACGGGAACAATTTCTGCTGCAATGAGCTTCCTAGTAGGCACTGTAGGATGAGATGCCCAGGAAGTGGCTTCCTACTTGTGAAAGCACATTCTTCCAATTGTTGAGAGAAACATGATGGATCTTATCTTATGGTGTGACTTGTGAGTGTGTCAGAACTGAAACAAAAATGAAAGGACTATGATTACATTGTTTGACAATTGACAGTGATTTCCATGATGAAGTATGTCATTTCAAGATACTGTTTTCTTTCAAATAATTCTAATTTGGTAATGTAGAATCTGCCCTCATTAACTAACTGCAATTAAGGTGATGGAAGGAAGTCTCAAAAGAGATGGTAATTGTGTTGCACATACTGAAGAGCAAGTTCAAAGAGCCTAAGGGAAAAATATTGCTCACTGTTAGGATGATGGGCTTTGAGGGTAACAAAATCAACTGACTGGCAATTCATGTAATTAAACTTAAAAGAAGCAAAAACCATTTGTACTTCAGATGAAAACTAGTCATTTCCTAGCAAATTTTATTCAGTTAGATATTAAGAAAAGTCCATGAAGCCAATCAGACATATTTAATGTGTGTTGATTTCCTTATGGTGGGAACGAAAGACAATATGCAAGGAAATGCCTTAAGATAACAGATGTGTTTGTCACCTCATACCTAAAAATGAAACTTATTGACTTCAAAAATGAGGACTTCTAACACAAAACTTGATTTGATCATAGACGTTGAGGATTACATATTCAGGTTTGGAATGGTTGTTGACTTAACAGCAGAATAAAATGAATGAATGGAATGATGTTTTGAATCTTGTGCACATTCTTGTATATAATACTTTGGCTCTGGCAAACTTCAATATAAATTGAAATATAATATATATTCAAAGAACCAACTACCATTTTTAATTATGAACTTGTTAAGAGGGGGTAATTTTAATGGAATATGTAATTGTAAAACAGTTTTAATATGTAGGCCTACCTGAGGCTACCCTTACACATTTTTCCGTAAAAAGGGAGTTTCTCATTTTGTTAATGCTGACAACTTCAAACAGCTTCTTTTTCTGCAAGATATGGTGCTTAGTTACTTTTAAATAAAACCCATCCTATTAACTCAATGTTTAGATGCCAGTGGGCAGCTTGGAGGAAAAGCCTAAAGCAGCACTTTTAATAACAAAAAGCAGACCTCAGGTTGATAGTAAACACAATATTTCAGTGTTCTCATGTATGTAACACGGATTAGGAAAACCCACTGTGCCTGCCACAAAAGACAGGGGCAAGACAAATAATAGGGTGTTTGATAAAATACATCAATAAAATTTCATTTCATGAACTTTTGTGGTTATCATCTTCATCCATAGAAGTAATGTCCCAGGCCAGTGCAATGATAATGCAAGGGTCCAGGCCCAGGGTCCTTATTAGTTAAATAAAAAATAAAAGGTCATATGAAAGAGTTATGTATGATTAAACAATGCACAAAAAATTGGCATAACAGAGTGGTCTGGCATGCATCAATTCGATAATATTTATAATATGGTATGTTGTTGGTTGATGAGGGAATGCAAATCAGTTATAACAGTTTAACAAAACTCGCCTTTAATTTGTAGACTTTTTAAAGTAAATCTGTTATTGTTACTTATATGTGTGATTAAATTGAAACACCAAGAAATTCTTTCAAAATATTTAAAGAGATGCAAAATACAATGTAAATTGATAAGATTTTCTTTATATTTTAGTATCAAAATGAGGGGAGAGGGGATCAGCGAAAGCAATTATTATTATTAGCCTATAAAGGACAAAGGTCTCCTGCTTTAGCTATGTTACAGTAGTTTGATATTTGTAAAATCACTAACGTAAGTCATCAGAATCATCAAAACAATATAAAGTGGAAGTAAGAAAAGGGGCCCCCAATGCTGTTAATACAACCCTGTCCCAGACCATAGTTTGCGGTACATCCCGGCCAAACATAGCTGTCGGGTTTAAATTTTTGTAATTTGTATTCCTAAATTCTATTAATTAAATTATCTAATTTTTGTTGTTGTGTGTGTGATTGAGTTGGATGTTCGCGAGTGTATATGCTCGAGACGGCAAGTGTGTTAACTGTGCCAGGAAGGGCCGCACACCGCATTAATAGGCTACACTTCTTGTACTAAGCTCACAGAGCACCCACAGTTTGTCTATGACTTAAGTGGTAACAGCGGTATTAATTTTACATGGCACAGGTATTACACCTTAAAGGGAAGGGGTGGGTGTAGGTCTTGCCTCATTTCCTTGCAATTTTCATAATTAGAGTTTTCTTTCTTGAGAGAAAGCTAAACTTGAAACTTCGTGTTTTGCTATCTTGTGACTAGCTTTTGTTTCAGCATGGATGAAAGAATAGAGTATAAATGAAATCTTTGCTCTATGTTTTTAGTGCAGTAGGCTTCCGCCCGTTCTCGGTGAAAAATCTCCAGGCATCAATTGTGCGGAAGCACTGCTGATGTCGACTGTACGCGTTGAAGGTTTGAGTGTTGATAAAATGTAAACAATAGAGCAACCACAAGTGTTAATGCAATTCAATGTGCGGGAGTGCGCGCGATTTCTTCGTAGTGGGCATTTCAATTACGTGGAGTGTCCGTAAGTTCCAGTCGAAGATTGGGAAGATTCTTGGGAAGATTTGCAATTACGGAAACTTCTTAGCGGATTTTAAAACATGTTAATAATTCTCGAACGTACTTTAGTGTTCTTTGTAAAATAAATGACCTGACTACTGTGCTCTGGCAATGGAACAGCGTGTCTTAGTAGTCTTGGAGACATGGCAACGGAAGCAGAAGCAGCGGAGCATCAATTCAGGGCCGCGAAGCTACGACGGTAAGGTAAGATGACCATGAGCGAATTCTTGTATTTATAGAATGAATTCCATGCCAAGACAATGAAAAGAATAATGGGTACTTTAGGTCTGTATAATTGTATTCTTAAGAACACGTATTATGCTTCAATCTATCAGAGGATTGCATCAGGCCCTTAAGGTTCATCGCAATATACAGAATCTGAGTAGTGTTTATAAAAGGTCCATCGATTTTTCTTTGAAATTGAGACTAAAGGAGATTATAGATAGTGTAATTTATCTCATTACAGTAATGAGAAATAACGTGTCGTAAAGAATTGACTTCGCCATTGCGAGATCGGTAAACGAAATGGCTTGCAGTTAAATGTTGATAGCCACAAAAAGTGTTTTTAAGTCAAATTGCGAATGGCAAGTTATAATTAATTGAAAATGTATTTTGGCATAAAATTCTTTGGAAATACTACATACCTTGGGCAGACTCAAGTATGTTTTTTGTTAATAGTGTAGACGGAATGCCACAGCCTCTTTATGAACTTTTCTACGTATTAATTCTCGTAACTGTAAATATAATACTGGGATGTTTGGTGTTTCCGGGACCGTCAACTATTACGGTCGTTAGGGATTTTTTTTAAACGTCAGATTGGGGCGGAGTTCCTTCCCCGTTGGTTGGTGAGATCCGATGATGTCTTGTACGTTGACATGAGGGGGTTTCTCTCCTCCAGGTATCTTCGCCAGTGGAAACAAGCTCGAAGCTCCCGACATGAGTGTAGGGTCGTCTCTCGCCGTCCCGCCAGATTTTTCTTTGTTTCTACCGACTGCCCTGATTTTTTATACTGTGTTGTAATTTCCCATAGTCATGCAGAAGAACTGCACTTTGGGACTTGTAAACTAAATCAGGCTATTCCACTCGTGAAATTAAACCTAATAGTGGTTAACTATAGAAAGTGTACCCAATCAGGGCGGTGTATCTCAAAAAGTTCATCGCTTTGTCTATCCGATTTTTCTTTTCACTTCTCTTGACCTATAGATCCTATAACTCTGACTCATCTGTCTTAGGAGGCGGTATACATCGATCGCTATGTTCAATAAACAATGTATGTAATATAACAGGGCCTAAAGAGCCACAACCTTTAATATGGATGCGGGCCTTATTTCCATTGCTCGGGCGACCCCCACGTGATTTCCCCGTACTGCTGATCCCGGCTGTTTGCCCGGCTGCTCTGAAACGGAGGGTGGGGTGGAACTATACGTGATATCAGACCGTACCATGCATAATGCAGTGAAACATATGAGAATGATTTTGAATTTACTAGAAAAACTTCTTAAATCTAAATAACCTACTTTTACATAAAGGGGGTATAGACCCTGGCACAGCGCTTGCGGTAAGCGCTCAACCTTCTCGCATGACATGGAAGCAAGGGTCTTTCACTCTTTACTAATAACCTTTCGCAGACCACAATAAATGGCACCGGGGGCCGCCAGTTGAACAACCCTATAACCTCTTTGGTTTTATCATATCATTCAGTTATTTTCAATATTTGACGCACATAATTTCATTCTTAAAATAGGCCTATTAAATACCACTCGTGCTTTAGAAATTCTCAGATAAAACCTCTTCTTGCTTCGTGAGTCGGAGATTTATCGGCAATTTCTAAAAAAGCACTCCTTGTATTACCTATCGTAACTATATGCTAGAGGTCGCTAGGGGCAAATCCCTCTAATGGACACCTGGCAACTCTGGTTTGAAAGTTCTTCTTTGGCCAAGAAATAAAATCTTCAGCAGTGAAACTTTAATTTTTTCAGGATGACCTTTTGGAAAATAAATAAAGTCCTGGAATTTCATTGGTCTAGAAAAGTCCGGGATTTTTTTAAAGTATCATTGGATATTTCTGTGACAATATATAAAACTAAGAATTCTCCTTCACATAACTCGAATACGTTATTATTATTGACAACATTTTTATATGTTAATACTTTTGTCTTTTTACGGTGCCATCTTAGAGCTGAAAATAAAGATTCTGTTTGTAATGAATCGAGATGCGTATGTCTCTCTCACAATGTGTTAGTGTAAGAGAATCTGTAATGCAAAGGAGAAAAAGGACTCAGTCGATAACAGTGTTTTAATATAGTGTAATAAGTGTAGTACTAATAAGTGTTTTACCAAAGCCATGATTTTTTAAATATTTTATTTAAATTTTCTGAAATATTTCACTTACTTCCTCGGTGAGTCGGTTTAAAGGAAATGACCTTAGATAACCTGGAAATGTGAGAGAAATACCTCCTAGAATAATAATGGTCACACTTTTAATCTCGTAAGTGAGAAATGAAATATATCTTGATCTACTATTTAGTTCTTTACTTGATATACTATTTAGTTGTATAAAAGTAAGCAATTTGCTCTAAAAAACACTTCGGATGTCCTGAATTCCTTTGTTATCCTTGGGGCAACCCTACAAGGGTTGCAATATAGTGTGTAATAGTGTAAGGGAAGAGAATAGGACAAGGAAGAGGAAAGAAAAGATCAGATGCGGTCCGTGGGCCTTTTGGTAGAGTACTGTTCCGCCATTTGCCCGGAATATATCGATGAAACCACTGAAATCTACCGCTCAAGAGTAGCCGTTCGGTAGCATTCTCGAGACAGCTGCGGAATTTGATCTAGCTCTCAAATCCGCCAGAGTTGGGCCTCGAAACCACGGAGAGGATAGGCTTCCGTGGCCAAAGTCAATAGATAGTTGTTCAATTGATACATGGCTGTTCAGGAGACAACGCGTCCTAGGCTCAGGTACCAACGTTTCGACCGCTATTCTGCATTCCTCATGGCGTAAAGAAATCGCCGCGAGGAAGGTCGCAGGATGGTGGTCGAAACTTTGGCATCTGTGCCTCTCCCAAACCGCCAAGTGGCTCCTTCGAACCCCAGGGCCTCTCGGTCAGAGCCGCTGTAAAGGCAGCGGCAATGTTGGCTCGGAGCTAACTCAGCCAGTGTAACGCTGAGTGTAATTTGCTTAATTATATTTACTATAAATACTAGATATGGCTAGTATTTAGAAAATCAAGTGACGAATATTCTTGCAATTCTAGAAACAGTACAATAATTAATTCTCGGTAATTTGTCTTTACAATTTCTGTAACATTTGTGATTTATTTCATTTATGATAAAAATTATGTAATTTTTGTTAGATTCTTTTTCTCAGTATACTATGCTACGTATTATAGTATTCACATAACCGCCATAAAAATATTCTGCAAGATTTAGCCATATTTTAGTATAGAACTTGTTTTACTTTACGTATCTGAGTTTTCTCGCAATTCAGCACTGTTTCTACCAAAAAAAGAAAGAAAAAGGAAGCTTCCGAGACCCACCTCCCCCACGTATATTAGGTGAGCTACGCCTTTACTCCCTCCCCTCTAGAGGCTCATGTAATTTACGGATTTATTTATTTATTTATTTATTTAAAGTTAAATATATTAGGAAGTTACGAGAATTTATTCAAATTTATATAAATTATATTTTCTGACTTAGCTAATTAGGTACTGAAAGGATTAGACGGATCTTGTATAAGTCAGTGAAAGGTTAATAAGTACTACTAAATGTTTCACACAGAGGTTTTGAAGGAGTTAAGGTTGCGCACGTATTATTGAATCCCTAAAGAAGACTAGAAAGGGGGAAATATCTTCAGCATACGAGCAAAAACAACGAGTCAAGAGTTCAGGCCCTGAGAAAAATGGAAAACGTTGGAAAATAAAGTATTTCGTAATTATAATACTTGAATTTCGTAATAATAATAATATTAATAATATGAGGATGTATAATAAAACTATTCGGTTTTTAAATTAAGTAAAAAGAAGGGATTAAAAACGATCAATTCAATTGCAGGAAAAGTTTTCAATTTAAACCCCGTACTAGAAAAGTAGAAATTATGAATATTTAGGAACTGTTTACCAATTTGAAGATTCCCAAGACCCGACCCCCCCCCCAATATCTCCCACCTGTATGCCAATAATATATACTACATTTATACGGATGGCCCCTTAGTAGGCCTATTGTAGAGTTCTGCATTCAGGCGAAAACAACCGCTGGAGCCTCGCAGCGCAAGGGGAACCTGCTCGGAGGGGGGAAGGTGGCTGTCTAAAGAAGAAATCCATTGGCCGCCTTTCGGCTCTCGGTTCCGTGGAGAACAGTCCAGCGGCGCCGAGCGCTTAAGAGTCGCCAAGCGCTGGACCGCCACCGGGCCCTCAGTACGTCGGCCGCCCGAAGCATATACAGGATTTAAAATGCACCGCATAGTGATTGCACGTCGTTCAGTTAATTGTAATTGATTAATTACAATCGAAAGACAATATAATTTCAATTATTAGGTTGCCAATGTTAAATTATTAATCGATTATTTCAGGTGAAAATTTAAGGGGGAGAGGAATTTCACAACTCAAATTTTTCAGAAACTATTAATTTTAACTTGTTACGAAACTTTAAAGAAGAAATATATTCGGATTATCATTAAAACGAATAATATCGTATTGCAGCATGAGCTGAGTGTAGCCTCCAAAGCCTTACAAAAACTGTTTTATACATATTTGACAAAACCATTTTGTATTTACCCTCCCCAAATTAGTCTCTAGGTACGCCCTTGATTAATTAATAAAACTTTAGAGATACAAAACAATGCAATATTTTAACGAACGAACCAACAGGCTGAAAGACAGTCAAACGAGCTCCTGGCCAGTGAGAACAATAATCGGAACGACGGACAGCCGGACAGCGATATGAACAGCCGAACATAGAGACGAACAGCCGAACGGAGAGACGAACAGCCGAACGGAGAGACGAACAGCCGAACGGAGAGACGAACAGCCGAACGGAGAAACTAAACTAAGCTGCGAAACGGTCCCTCGAACGCACGGACAGACGCATTGGCGTATAGGCGGACTGACATATAGATGAATAGGCGGACAGGCAGACATACGAGCAGGCTAACGGTTAAATATACGAACAGACTGGCGTGCAGACAAGCATCCGAACAGGCAGTCGGA